CACTCATTCTCATGTAACACAAGTTTGGAAAGAGACAGGTGGCAGCAAAACAATCCCGCACAAGGACCCTGACTCTGTCCTTTAGTGGGTAGATAGTTAGCTGATAAATCAAAATATCTAATGATTACAAGTCCATTTAGATTTTCAATTTCATTTTGAGTGAGGTTTTGTAAGTTATGGTTTTCTAAGAAATGATTCATCCTGCCTAATTTTTCCAATGTATTAATATAAAAGAATTCAGAACATTTTCCATTTTTATTGCTATGTGCTATTTCTGCAGTTATACTCTATTTTTTGTTCCAAAAATTATTTGTGCCTTTAAAAAAAAATCAGTCATATCTCTGGTTTAGCTATTTTATTATTTCAAAATAACTACTTTTAGTTGGTTCATCTCCATTATATATTTGCTTTCAATTTCATTATTTTCTATTCTTTTCCTGGTTGTTTCTTCCCCATTACTACTTCTAGATCCAACTAAGAAGGACCCTATCCTGGGCCACAAACTCTGGAGGAAGGGGAGGTCCCAAACCAAAAAATAATAAATACAAAAAGTAAATTTATTAAAGATGCTGTAGATATGTCTGTCACTCTGGATACAACTTACACTGTGATATACAATATCTTCCTTATGATTCAGTTCTATTTTTTAATATGCTTGCTGATTTCCTCTTTGACCCATGAGTTATTTAGAATAATACTTTTACATTTCCTGACATACTGGGTTTTTAGGAATCTTTGTTGACTTATCTCCTGCACATACTTCAGAATCCTCTCATCTGTATGTTTTTAATATCCCTTCTAGTTTATTTTTAAAAATAAAATAAAATATCATTTGTGGGGGGCTGCTCTCAGCCTGCTGCAGGCATGGCAGAGCAGCTACTCCCTTAGGCAAAGAGCTGCAGACACCAGCAGTAGGAAATGGTCAAGGCACAAGGGAAGGTCCAAGGAAGACAGGGTGGGCACTCACAGCCTCTGCTACTCTTCCCCAGGCTCCTATTCTTATTCATTTCCAGTGTACTCTTCCACTATATCGTACTTATACCTCTCTTTATACCAAAGATGGCACATAATAACACTGTTCTATTTCTTACTTTTTGTCACTTAATATGTCTTGAAGAGCCTTCCATGAGAGCATTCAGAACACTTCCTCCTTCACGTTAGAGCTGTATAGTATTTCATTTCAAGAGTGTAACGATTCATTGAACCATCCCCTTTATGAAAAGGCAACCACAGCTTCAAAGCAAGCTTACCACTCTAATTTCTAGTTCCTTCTTCATTTTTGGAGCCTCTACATCTTTCTCTTACTTTGCTCTGCTACAGGCTTACAAAGAAATTAGTTATATTTTACAGATCATTTCTAGATGTTTTATAAATAAAGGGGTTTTCAGGTGACTTGGCAGCTACACTGTGCAAAACAGAAGTCTAATCCAGGCTCTTCGCAGCCTTCTGTTTATGGCAATCCAGGTGTTTTGTCCTCATACTTGTACCTCATGGCTACAGAAGTCACAGATATCTCTAATATCAGATAATCTCTAACCACAACTACAGTCAAATGCAGGGAAGGGGAGGTGTCTTTCTTCTTTTATAAGTAAAATTAAAAGCCAAACCATTTTGCTGGAAGAACCTCCAGAAACCATCCACTTAACTCTAGTTGTGCCACAATGTGGGGACGGACCAGCCCTAGCTGCAAGGGAAGTTATGGAATTTGGCAAAGGAGAATGGGATCATTATGACCCACTTAAGTCAATCTAGCTTCACTCCCAGGGGCTGGGTACTTAGCCATCTCAAAGAAAACTGATTCTGTTCACAAGGAAGAAGGTCTGTTAAATGGGCAATGATCAGTATCTGCAATAATACCTCAGATGAAACAGAAAATGTAACCGTGGGCATCTGAAGGTGAAAAAATGATTTTAAATAACAGTGATTCTTTTCAGTTCAGATACTGCAGAAAGAAAAATGAGTGAAATATTCTTGATGCCTAGTCTAATATACATTATAAAAAAGTAGAAATGCTTCATCCCAAGACAAATGACTCACACGTTTCAGAACACAAAATGTAAGGCCTTCCCTCAGGCCCCATATACAGAAACTTTTTTTTCTGCATCTAGTGAAGTTTCCAGAAGGTAAACCTTTAATGTAACCTAACAATTATAATAATTATTTACTATTTTTAAGAAAAATAACTTGTTGAGCTTTTGTAATCTGAAATAAAACTGAATAGCTCTAATGGGAATCATGATATATTCTTTTAGTTGTCAACACAAAGAAGACTCAAACTGAGGCTCGGAGCAGTGGCTCATGCCTGTAATCCTAACACTCTGAAAGGCTAAAGTGGGCAGATTGCTTGAGCTCAGGAATTCGAGACTAGCCTGAGCAAGAGCGAGACCCTGTCTCTACTAAAAATAGAAAATTAGCTGGGCATTGTGGCTCATACCTACAGTCCCAGCTACTAGGGAGGCTGAGACAGGAGGATCATTTGAGCCCAGGAGTTTGAGGTTGCGGTAAGCTATGATGACACCACTATACTCTACTTGGGTAACAAAGCAAGTCTGTGTCTCAAAAAAAAAAAAAAAAAAAAAGCGGGGGGGGGGGGGGGGCTCAAACTGATTAATTAGGCTAAAGAATTTATTCCTTTAATAATAAAATGTTTTTCGGATAATAAGCTTAAAACAATGACAAGTGCATATGCTGAGAAAAGCAGCATATGTACCTACACCCAAGGTCTTTCTCATCAGACACATTCCTACTTGTTCAGAGCATTTTGCATCGTAGGTAATACTGGTGCTTAATCATTTTACCTCTACAAATTTTGATGATTTCATTTGCCAAATATACAAATAGAATAAGTAACTGGAAAGAGAAAACTTTTCATATCTTTAAAAGTTTCCTCCACAGAGACCAGATTTACCTGGTGTAACAAAAGGGTATTCTTGCAATTCAATCTAGAGTTGAATGAGCATATTTTTTAACTTAGGACCTAAGTTTTCAAGTTGCTATTTTTCAAAAAATATTCTAAAAGGTTATTTGGTTAAAGGTAGGTAAGTTATCCTTGGTCAAATATAACTGGAAGTGAAACTGGTGAGGTGTGTCTTTGGGTGAAGTTGGATTAGATTAATACAGTTAACTGTAGATATTAAATGGCTGACTAAAAGATGACAGATGCCACTGTTAGGCACTGGAGATTATGGCCATCAGAGAGCAACACTTTACATCACAATCTTTCAGAAATTCACCTCTAAAACAAGACTGCTTCAAAAAGACTGTGACACTTATCCTAAATGCTTTGGGCTTCAAAGGGAAGCCATATGCATAGACATGTTCACATGCTATCCAAATAAATACATATTAATATATCTATGATAGAATAATGTAATTCTGAAAACCTGTATAATCAAAATGAAACGAAACAATAGATAATAGAAATGGCTCCTGTTAATGTTCAAATAACTGCAGAAATTTATTATATCGAATGATACTGTTAAATGAAAATGTGCCATAAAGTCAACTGGATTACTTGACCTTAAGTAATATAATACAATTGGTGCTGCAAAAACACAATTAAATGAGATGTGAAAGCAACTATAAACTGTCAGATTTTAACACAGCAATAGTCTTATCATTGCCTTTACAAGTTTTATATTAGAATTTCTCATATTATTAGTGAATCAACAATATTCACATAGTGATGTCAGAATGTAAAACATTAAATTATGTAAGGGAGAATACACTTTAGATTTGAAAAATACAAAATTCTCAATATGCAGTAAAATAGCATTTTACCCTTTAAAATCCCAAGTAATGTGACTTGAGTATACCCTGGTACTCCATCTGACAACGTGAATCTCAGAGGTGACGTATAGTTTTCACATATAAAATCAGTTATTCTCTGAATCCCCTAAATTACTACTAAGAACAGCAACATACATTTAAATCACAAGCTGCTGTCTTTCTTGTGGTTGGTCTACTTTAGAAGCAGAAGATGGGTACAGCTGCTGGAGTCAAGGTGGACATACCTCAGCTTGCAACATGCCCTTCCCCCTAAGAACCTGTCTGCTCTAACTCCATTCACTATCAGCCCGGCACCAACTGCTCTAACGCCATTCACTATCAGCCCAGGACTCCTCACTCCTGCCTAAACTGACACAGTCCTATACACACAGGGGCCCAGAATGACAAGAACATCAGATAAGCAAACCATGATAGGCTATTCTTCCACTATTTAACAATTGGGAGAACACATGGGAATACGAGAGTAAGATGGAAGAGATGTTCAAGGGGGATTCCATTCTATCTGTTCTCCCCCTAAAAATGTAATCCCCCTAAAAATTTCTCCTCCATCTTTCCAGTGTGTGTCTCATCAGGCTCTTTCTAATAGGTCTCCCTCTTTCCCACTTCCTAACAAATCAGAATTCAGAATTGAGTTTGGTGCCCCCCAAATCTACTTATCCTTCAAGAATAAGTCAAAGGTTACCAACTCTATAATGCCACCTTCAGTTTGTCACTGTTCATATCAACTTTTTCATATTTCATACTCTCATCGCATTTGCATGTTTATCTCCACCTCAACAGACTTTAAAGCCTTGGGCATATCATCTTTTTAACCCTGACAACTAATACAAAGCAGACACGATGAACTAAACCAAAACAGTATACTCAATAAAAAAGGCACTGGAGCTTATGGCACCAAAAAAAGCCAATGTGCCCAACTGTCATTTCAGGCTGAAAATTGTCACCCACATCCACACACTTGCACATGATAAAAATCACAAGACAAATGAGAAAAGACATGTAGGTTCTAAGTGAAGCCACTTTTCTACTGACCAGGTTTCTTTAGAGTGTGAGTACACTCTGCTGCGCTCTGTCTCTAAAGGAATATCTACCATAGTCACAATAACCAATTCCACAGTTGGAGAAATTCTCAAGGAGGCTCACATAGAAACAACATCCAGATGACAAGTACATTAAAAGCAAGTTGAAATGCATCTTGAGCTGTTAATTACCTGTAATGCTCACTGATGGGAATGTTCTGAGAGAAGTACAAAGCCGATGTCCGTGCTCTCCAGTGCCATTTCTTTGCAGGAAGGGTATAAAGGACACAGTCTTCTAATTCTTCTTGGAGCAGATCCACCAGCTGTTTATGGGAGCCCCCATAGAATGCCTCAATGATGAGAATACTCATTGGCCCGTTAAAACCTTCAGATTCTAGATAACAACCAAAAAACTTTATATTTTTTTCAAATATATACATATATAAAATTTTTTAATAAAAATAAGTTTAGACCAGATACAGTGGCTCACACCAGTAATCCCAGCAGCTTGGGAGGCTGAGGCAGGAGGATCGCTTGAGGCCAGAAAGAAGTTTGAGACTAGCCTGGGCAATAGCAAGACTTCTTCTCAACAAAAAAATTTTTTTAAAAAAATTAGCTGGGTATGGCAACGTGTGCCTGTAGTCCCAGTTACTTGGGAGGCTGCAGCAGGAGGATCACAGGAGCCCGGGAGTTTGAGGCTGCAGTAAGCTATGATACCACTGCACCAGCCCAGGCAACAGAAAGAGATCCTGTCTCACCAAAAAAAAAAAAAAAGTTTAAATTTTATGCTCAGAAAGAAAATACACATAATTTAAAGTCATGTTTTACTTTTTAAAATAGGCTCATTTCACTTTTTTAAAAAGTACATAACACTTAAAGTTTATAGTTTTGTAATCAGTATTCTCACATCATTTGTGCTAAGTAGAAATAAAGGTGTCTTTATTTTTCTGGTTTTCCTCACACCCTAAGATTATCTCCACAATGACTTAGTTTTTTCTCCTACATCAGGAAGCTTCAAGCCCTCTCTTGCTGTAATCACTCACTTCCTGGTTTGTTCGGCTGTGAGCCTGACTGAGTAAACTCAGAACCTCTTGATCTAGGGCTTTAGTCTTGGACAGACACTGAACTCATCTTCTAATAAAGACTTTCACTTCAAGAGCCCTGCAATTCTAATGCCCTTTCCCGTTCAGAAATTCTCTGATTCTGTAACTCATATTCACTCACCTTTAAATTCACCAGCTATAACTCCCTCTAGGAACATATATTTAAAATAAGGTATATTCATAGTCAAATCACAATTTTCTAGTGTTAAAAACTTTAGGATACAATTCCTTGAGACAGTGTACATAACTTGATCACTTTCCCACATTTGTCGATATCCACCCCCAAAGGAATACCAAAAAAGTGGGGTAAAGCTGTATGTCTGTGAACCAGCAAGGTCTTCATAACCTTTCTTTAAACAAGCAATTCATTAAGAAGGATACTGGAGAAATAATGGGGTTATTAAGACATGGTAAAATTTCATCATAGAGAATTGGCCATCAAGTAATTTTCATTTTAATAAAATGATTTTTTAATGTACTCAGTGAAATAAAATTCATGTATAAATATATAAAAACTTTCATATACATTTCAAATTATATGCTATTTTCTATAAGACATAAGGGAGAAACATCATTCTGTGCATAAATGCTATATTATTTAAAAAATATTCCAGATGTTTAAATTTTCCTTTCTGACGTAAGTAAATACCACTCATTAAACAGCATATTGATTTTCTTAATAATGCTGTTCCACAAAAGTATTAATCTCAATGACTCAATGATGCTCTTCACTAATAAAACGAATAAACATATTCAAAGTAATGCCTACTTAAACTGCATATTAAAGCAAAAAAAAAAAAAAGAGCTTATTTCTTGATGTCCAAATCTTCCAATGAGAATGAGCATTTGGGAGGTGAGAAATATATTTCCTTTATATGCAAAATAAGAAGCCATGTTTCTCAAGTGGAAAAGGTATGAACCTTAGGATCAAGGAGATATAAGTTTATACCTCAGCTCTATCACTTCCTAGCTGTATGACCTTGGTCAAGTTATCTAACTTTGTAGGACTCAGACTCAGAGACATTACTAACCTCAGAACTGTGCTGTGAAGTTAAAATTAGATAATGCATGTGAAGCACAGTAGCTTATAAACAGTAATAAGCTCCTCCTATTATTGGTATAAATCAATCTATTTAAGGAGAAAGGATATCTTCATATCTTCTTTTAAATCTAGTAATTTTCAATCATGGCCCCCTATCCACCAGGGATAGGTGGGGAAGGTGGATGGATATGCAGGATATACACATGCACATGAAATACAGTAGGCGTTACCCATTCCTCATCAGCAGCTTGCATTTTAAATACGAATTTGAGAGCCCGATAGCTTTTCTGGGTAAAAGGTAAGCTCAGAGACTGAGCTCAATCTTTTAAGGTCTGCTGGAGACTTCTGTTCTCAAATGCAGTGTTCAGTGAGTTAACAAACACCTTCCAGATTCAACAAAGTGATAGCCATGAATACTTCAAATGACTGAAACTTCTAGAAAGTAATTGAGAGAATTATGAAAGGTAATTTTGAAAATTATATCAAAGGTTTCAAGAAAGAATAGGTTTCAAGCAGTTTTAACATTAACTTGCTTACTAGATCACATCAGAGATATCTACTATCTTGCTTTATTTCCTCTGACCTACTCACGCTAAAGTGTATATGAAAAGGTCTCTAAAAGGTTCTTGTAGGCTGGGTGTGATGGCTCACGCCTATAATCCTAGCACCTTGGAAGGCTGAGGCAGGAGGATTCCTTTAGGCCAGGAGTTTGAGAACAGTCTGAGCATGATATCAACACCCTGTCTGTACATAAAATAGAACAATTTGCAGGGGTAGTGGTAAGGGCCTCTAGTCCCAGCTACTTGGGAGGCTGAGGCAGGAAGATCGCTTGAACCCAGGAGTTTGAGGTCGCAATAAGTTATAGTGAAGCCACTGCACTCTAGTCTGGACAACAGAGTGAGACTCTTGTCTCCCAAAAAGGTAAACAAACAAAAGGGCTCTTATAAAAATGATGTGAGATATTTCTCCAAGTAATGAAATGTGACATAAACCATTCTAAAGAATATTTCACTCATCAAACCTCAAAGAAAGCAACATCAATATTAGAAAAAAAAAATTGCTTTCTGATTCTTCATTACTCTGCCCTTTTGCATGATTAATCTAAAGTATGTATCATGTCATATATTTTACAGATGTTTCATATGGGTCTGAATCACGAGTTATCTGCAAACCATCAGCCACAGTGGAGGCAGTATATGTAGGTGCTGCTAGAGATTCCAAACACTCAGCAAGCAGAACTGAACACCACGCATGTGGGAGGTTGAAAAATAGAAAAGGGGAAAAAAAGATTATAGCTATAGTAGATTTCCACCCCTTTAATAGCTCTGTAAGAAGAGTGAAATGTACAGGTTTGAACTAGCGTTTACTTGAGCATTTTTCTGGTGGCCAATGGGTGTGTCTACATTTTGGGTATTTTTCTAGGGAGAGTAACTATGTCCTACCATCTCTGAAAACTATACTTAGTGGCTTTGATTCATGGAAATTTGTTCTGCTTGTTTTGTGGAGACAGACACATCCTGGCAGTTCCCCACTTACTTCTATTGCGACTTTTATGGCAAGAAGAAAATGTAATCTTCCCTGAGTCTTCTGGAAGCACGACCTGGAAGAAAGATGATTCCCATTAGATGTAAGCAAAAGGAGGGAAGCTAATTTTAAATATAAGATTCAAACCAAATGTCATTACAGCACATTAAAGAATGGTTCAAATACTCTCTCTGTGCTTGAGTTTTGTTTTAGAAAACACTGCTTGAAACAAATAAGCATGAGGTTGAAAAAAAAAACCTACTTTGCTGTTATGATGGAATTTGCTAAAATATAAAGGGAGTACACTATTTGCTCATTTTAGCTATAATCAGAGAAAACTGCAGATGCTCACCCTGGTCAGATGCTCAAAAGCACACAGAGTGAATACAGACATTTTTGCACCACTAGCAATGGCTAGTAAGGAATAAGTGCTTGGAAGCAGTAATTAACAGGGCCTCAACATTTGCTAATTCCGAAGCTAGGACAGGGTCTCCTTTAGGGCAGAAGGCTGTGGTCAGGTGTCTGCCTAAAGATGGCGAAGAGCCAAATGTCTTATGTAGGTGCCTGAGTTCACGAATCTGTTAAAGCATTGTCACAGTACCACCAGAGAACTTAAACCCTCAAACATTTAAATTGAGTAAGCATATCAGAATTAAGGGTGTGGTATTTTTAAAGGAAGAAACAACAAAAAACATATATTGGGTAATAAATACCAAACAGAAAGCCGATGTCCTTTCTGAATGAGACTCAAAATGATACTATATGACATTAAGAGCAGTCCAGGCACAGCGACTAACACCTTTAATACCAGCACTTTGGGAAGCTGAGATGAGGGGATCACTTGAGGCCAGGAGTTTGAGACTAACCTGGGCAACATGGCAAGACCCTGTCACTATAGAAATTTTTTAAAAAATTACCTAGGTGTGGTGGCACATGCCTGTAGTCCCAGCTACTCGGGAGGCTGAGGCCAGTGAATCACTTGAGCCCAGGACTTCCAGACTGCAAGTGAGCTATGACTGTGAGCCATTTCACTCCAGCCTGGGTAACAGAGTGAGACCCTATCTCTTAAAAAGAAAGAAAAGAAAAAGAGTAAATGGCCATTTCATTCTTGCTCCTTAAAAAAGCATATAAAATATTTCAGATCAATTTTTATCAATTTTAAGTTTTTCTGATTAAACAAGTAAGCTTTGGTTAAAGAAAAACTCACTTCTTCAGCACCTTTCATTCCCCAGTGACATGAGATAAATGAGAATCTACTATGATATTAAAGCTTTATGAAAGTTTGGCTCATTATCAATAATATGATTTAATGGTACATGGTTAAATGTTAAACATTAAATTTGGCAATATAAAATGAGTCAAAATGATAGCTGTAACATAGAAATTTTATATCATTTCAAATTCTATTTAAGATCATCAGAGGTCAAAATGATCTATTTAAGAATTATCTGCCTTTCCAAAAATTTATATTTGTAATTAAAAGAGGCTACAAAGTAAAAAATCACAATAGTATTTCATACAAACATTTTGACCAAAGTGAGAAAGTGCCATTAGCGTCATCTCAATTAAAAACTAATAATGCATTAATAAAATCACAGAGAACAAAAGTAGCCTGAAACCAATGCAGTGAATATTTTTAAATTTTTATTAAAACTTATTGCTATTGTACCTGCATTTATTTTAGGCTTGACCCAATTTCTTTATTCCCTGAGCCATGATCATTTTCAAGGTGAACTACATTTTTGTCTACCTCCTCTAGCAGTTACAACTGCTGTGGTAGTTGAAGTTTTTCTTAATAGTAAAGATATAAAAAATTTGTAATATGTCATTGATTTACTGAAAAAGATGTGCTAAGTTTAAATACATCATGTCAATTTTTTAAAAAAATAAACCTTAGTCACATTAGAAACCCATGATTAGCCCTCCATATATGATGTCAGTTCAGGTACCTACAATATTCAAATAATTTTCCAGCCAAACACCCAGTAATAATTTTAAATCAGAGGAATTGTTGTATTAATATATTCCACAGACACCTTACTGTTATTAGTTGTAGGAAGGTATAGTTTCAGTGATGATGCTTTTAACGGTTTTAATCCCACACACATGAGAAATTGATTCCACAGGCTAATCCACACATGGCTTGATGCCTTAAAACTTCAATCAATTGTTGAAAATATATTTTCTAATTACCAAAATACAATATTTGCAAACTTAAGCTTGTTAAAGCAAAAAATAGTGAGCTTAAGCAGTAAATGGCTTAAGTTGGAGAAAGTAAATTTTTGAGAATTTCTCAATAGGTCACCAGAAGTTTACCTGGTATTTTCTTACTGACCCTTTCTCCCCGTTCTCTTCTGCACCTCCACCCACTAATACACCCAGGTTCTATTTAAAAAGCAACCAATAACCAGCAGAGTAAAATAGGGCAGTACTGAGAAAAGTTAGTATTACCTTCCAGCCCACTCACTTATTTTAATGATTCATCATGGAAAGCCCAGTTGTTAAAATATACCTGAAATCTCATTAAATAGTAAAAAATAAGCATGAAAAGGTCTCTGCTTTGAAACGTGTCACCAGAGATTCCCCTAACAGAACCTATTAAAGGTGAGGATGAAGTAAAAATACATTTTGTCAAAAAACTTTCCTCAAAGTAATACACTACAGTCAACTATCTTATGATTTAAAAAAAAAATAAAATAAAATAAACGACAGAGAAATAGATTCTACTGAAAGTTATTTTTTAAAAATCCTTCTATAAAAAATCAGGCATAGCAAATTCATCCTAACCCCTAAAACCTCAAGATAATCTCTAAAGACTAAAATATAATCTGGCATCAAATGCCAATCCTAAAACTCTATGCACTGCCAATATTCTACATAAAATTAAAGAAACCGTGGCTCATAGTAAATAAGGAATGAATCTGTTTCCTGAGGATTAGTTCGAACTGCAGATAACACCTTATGAAAACTGATCATTACTTCATTATTTGGTTATGGGACATACAACCTAACATTTATGACAACTTGGATACTACTATATGTACTTAAATAGCAACATTTTAAAAAAATCTCATGTTCAAATTGAAAAAAATGTACTAATCTATATTTTATACACCTCAAAATGCTATAGATGTTCTAATTTCTTCATCTGTGACTTCTGTTTCCTATTGTGGTGACTGAGAGCTGAGGATTCTTGCATCAAAACCAAGATTTTGTAAAAAACTTTAGATGCGATACTGTCTGTGAGACAATTCAAAGCTATTTTCAAATGTGCTTTTCCAATTCTACTAGTTGCAATGATCTTTTAAGTACCTGTTCTCTGTAAAGCTACAATCTTATATGTATATGTGACTTTTTAATTTTCCCTGGCAAATATTTTCATTCTTTCTTGATTTGGAATTTAACATTCTGCTTAATACTATCAGTCACATATTCTAGGACTTGAATTAATACAAAGTCTCGATTATTACTCTCAAGTATCAAATGCAAATTCAAGAAATATTAATAGTTACCAAGTATTTACCATGTACCAGGCCTATGACATCATTCACTTATTTTGAAATATGCATAATTTTCACAAATAACTACATGTGTATAGATTAAAAATTCCTTAATTTACATTTTTGTGAAGTTATAGTTACAGTTTACATTTTTGTGAAGTTATATAATCCACATTATATAGCAAAATTATAAGATGTTTTGTGTTTGTGATAAGTTTAGTGGTTTAATTTCACTGACAAACAAAATACCAATCTACTTTCAATTTTCAGTGCTATTAATTTCATGAATAACTTCAAACTATAAAAATAGCAACAAATTATTTTCTACTGAATACTAAAAATATTTTTAATTTGCTGACTTTTTTTAATGTGGCAGCATATTTATGAGTCAATACAAAGTTGAAAGCCAGAAAATCATCTCATCACTCATGTAAACTACTGCATTACCCTTTTAACTGGGTCTCCATCCTACCATACAATCTTGCACTCACCCCACCATGCTCCATAAAATAATCACAAAAAAATCTTTCCAAAATGGAAATCCGGTCATGAAGTGACATGCTCAAAAACCTTCAATCACCTAAGGATAAAATCCAAGGCCCTACACGTGGCAGTTAAGACTCACTGCTGGGCCCCTTCCTTTCTCTTCACTACTGCCACATGTGGCCTTCTCCCACTTCAATCCCTCTTCCCTTCCACGCTGTGGCAATACCAAGAACCCCCACTCACATGGCTGTTTTAGACTCCTCTGACTTCACACGTTTATATCTCTTCCATCAGCCTTCTCTTCATTCACCTATGAACTTTTGTTAAAATATCTGTTCATGAATCACCATTTCTACAAAGTCTTTCCCTGAACTTCTCTTAAACATGACTTCCTTTCTACTCTGTACAGTATCTTTATAATACTTGTTTCACCTCACTGCCATGTCCTACTTTTCTCTGCAGCTATGAAAATCTGGAGGATGGGATCATGCTATTATTTTCCTGAGGGGTATCTCAGGATTTGGCACATGGTGGATGTCACTAGGTTTTTGTGGAGCTGAACTGAGAATCGGGGGGACACAGGAAGTTGCTTTCTTCTGCCTTTAAAGTAACATGGCTTTCATCTAACACAAGTTCTGAGCAAACAAGTGTCAGGCAGCACTGTACTTGCTGTTAATGATTTTGCATTATTCCTGAAGTCTTAACTGAATCAAGCAGCACATATATCTGAACAAATTTGATTATGTTCTCTCTCAAATATTTAATATTTTTTATTGTACACAGAAATCAGAATATATGGGGAAAATAAATATCTTTTTCATGTAGACATGTGTTTATTTTAACCTACTGATACAATAGAAGTAGCAATGACTAAAGAAATGGGAGAAATAGCATAAGCAATTGGATTCTAGGCCAAAGCAAGTTTCTTGGCCTAAGAGAAGATCTGTGAGATCCATGAATTTTGAAAATCACCTGCAGTTTTTTTAAGCCGTTTGATCTATTATCATAGTTTAATCGAGAAGTAGAAGTAAGATGAGAAGCCAATTCCCTCACCATCAATCTGGAGAGCTCATTCCACATTTACTAATTA